GTTTTTTTTTTTTTTTTTTTTTTTTGTCTTTTTCCGTGTCCGGCAACGGATCGCAACCCTCAGTGTTGCCCCCGTACCGGACCGGGGACCGGCAACGGAATCGCAACCCTCGGCGTTGCTCCCGCGCCTCGCTCAACCAGTGAGCGGGAACCGGTCTGTATGTGGGATCCGAACCCTCGGGTGGGAGCGCCGCCGCGCCTCCCAAGCAGCGCACTATCCAGTGCGCCACCAGGCCGGCCCAAAATTCAATGTTTTTTAGTGCAAATTTCTATCATAAAATATCTCAATTGTACATAGTCAAATTATTTTCCAAAGATAATTCATGGAGCTAAACAAAAATAATTTTTGTTGAAATGGCTATTCAAACTTAAGAATGTGATCTGAAAATATGTAATTGATATAATTCAGCCAAGAAGCTGTATGTCTCTTAGACCAATTGTAAAACATGAAAAGTTAACTTCACAATTCAAAACCCATCCTTTAACCAACTAATGGTGACATCTTTCAGAAGCATCTTTTGGAATCTTATTTTTATATGGGGTGTTTTTATTCCTCTACAGGAACTGAGTCTGAGGTAAATGATAAATTCTAAGCTCCTTTTAATACATCACTCTGTGACCATGTGGTTCATAATGTAGTTCACTTTGCAATCATGCCTGACTCCTATCCTTTTTTACTTTAAGGTTAAGAATTAATATTCTTAATTCTTAAAAGTATTTGAGAATTCTACTACTCTTGAAAGAATAAGTGTGGGTGTTATTTTTTGACTTCCAACTCTGAGAATCATAAATGCTACATGTAGTTCTGGTGTCAAGTTGAAGAAGAATGGAATCAAGTCCTTATTCAACCGAAGAAAGGGAACTAAATTTAAAATCCATGTGGTGGGATAGTGTGTATGTGTAAAATCTATCTACTGCCCTACATTTGATAATATAACATTAAAGACAGAACACTTAAGGGTTTTTAATTAAGATTTTAATGTAGGTGTAAATGAAATTCTTGTTTTTAAAAAAATTAAAGAAAGTTTTCATTTATTTTTTAGAATAAAGATTTAGTGCACAAATACAGCCCAAAGCCAACAGAAAAATAGCTCTGCCCTGTCATTTCCCTAAGAAAGCACTGCAGGTACCCATAATAGGCCAAAAGAGAAAAGAGGGGAAAAAAAAGCAATTCTCTGAGTTCTAGGCTTCACAAAAGTTTAACCATATGTTAAACTATGTACATCGATTTGATGTGCAAGTGTGCAATAAATATGTACACATACATTCCTATCTGCTTTACATCATTCTACAGTATTCATAGATCAAGCTGGGATTTAGAAATGTGAAAAGGCCATAACAGTGAAAAGGAAAATAAAGGATACATGGTTTTTAGATCAGCAGAGTAATAATACTTAGCTAGTTAATTATGTCAACTTTGAAGCAGACTAAAAAAGTTTTGAAATAAATGGTACCTATAAGGGATGCTTACTGCAATACTTGTTAAATGTTATTTGTCAGTTTTTTGATAACAGCACTGACCTGTATTATATGGTACTAGTAACACAGCTCCCTCTGTCCTAGAATTCCTCTAAATGGCCAGCGATTGCTATCCATTATCATCTTTATAAGCATCTCAAGAGGTGTGTTGCTGAGCCTTTTAAAAGATAACTAGCCTAACCTACGTCTCTTTATGTGGCTACATCAGTTGCTCGTGGTCCCAATGAAGTATAAAAGAGAATATAAGCCGCTGAAGACTTCACAGAAGAAATGGAGATATCAGAAACTTCGTGATCATCAAATTTAAACCATCGCTGTCTTGCTGCATTTTTACAATAGGCAGTGTAATGACCTCCATCCAGCCCGCCGTAGTGATTCTGTGCCAAACAAGATAAAAAATCAGTTCAAATTGAAACTGTTATTTAAAATACGTAATAATTTCAAAGCTTTATATTGTTCTTACTCTATGAGGTAAGGAACCACTCAAAACTACTGTTTTTCATAGTTTGCTTTGAAATAAAAATGCTTTAGTTTAATACTTACTGAAACAGAAAACAAGTTATATTTCTTCAAATTGTTCTTTGGACCAATAACATACTGAGACAAGTCAAGATTTTCTAAAGGGAAGTCCACAGATGTCTGTAATTTTTGCTTCCACCTGCCATCATAGGAAAAACTGCAGAACAAAACATTACAGCAATTACACTGACAGAGAAAGACATCACAACGAACCCTCAATCATTAATTTCCAGGTTTTTAGCCAGGACCATAAAATTTATTTCCAATACAAAGATTCAGAATTTTAGTAGTTGAGGGACCTGTTAAAGTCATTTGGTCTCATTTCCATTTTACAAATGAAGAAACTGAGGTACACAGATATTAAATGACGTGTCCAAGAGCTAGAATGACAGAGGCAGGACCACAAACTGGCCCCTTGATCCCCAGGCCAGCTACACCTGTTCGATGAGTCCTCCTTTTTGTAATGCTAATCACCACAAAAGCACAGAGGAAGGACTGAGGAGACCTGCTCTATATTTAAACGCATACTTCTGGGGAAACTACAGTCAGAAATTGACAATAGGTATATTAGTGATTGAAATAATGGCATTCCATTATTCTGGCATATTCTGCTCCTTGCTCCTTATAACACCAAAATACTAGTGTTTTGGTTGCTGTAATATGGTTATTTCACAATTATTTTTTAAAAAGCGAATTCTGAGCCATATATAGTTTTAAATATCCTCCAAAAATAATATTCAGCATTAAAACATATCAAATGTGTAATCATTTATATCTCCACAGTCCTTAAGAAAAAGGGACAACTGACAAGCGTTTGTTAGAAAAATTTACACGAGAAATGAGCACATCAATGTTGAAATTAATGTAACTGTCTAAGAAACTCCAATAATATAGGATGAAATAAAAACTTAACATAGAATAGAAATGTCACCTTTGAAACAAACTACAGTTCTCAATAAAAAGGTGAAACTTCCTTTAAAAAAGTTTCTCAAAAAAATCGACTCAAAGATGGATTATATAAAGACAAAAGAATCAGAGCAAAAGATCTGGTATATGTTTTACAACTCTCGCCTGTATTCCTTTACCACAAGATAGGACCAGATCATTTTCGTAGGTTGGAAAAATCTGGACAAACCTGTCTGCACTTAACAACAGCTTCAATAACATATTTTGTCATTAAAATTACACTCTAAAAAAATCATATTTCATTTTCAACACGATTAAATCTGTTTTGTTATACTCAGTTTACTGTTTGAATATTATATTTCATCCGCTAATTTGTGTTATTAGAATTATACTGCATAACATTTTCATGTATTTTCACTTAATGTTTTATAATGATTTAAAATTTTTATATCTGAAATGCAATAATTCAGTTTCACTGACTTAGAAACTGAATCATGCAGAATTACATGAAATAGTGGTGCTGACAATTTGCTTTGGTATTCACTAAGGTGAACTAATAGAGTCTCATCATTTCTGCCCTATTTCCCAAGAGCTACCCTAACCACATAATCTTCCTTGGTTATGTATCCTTAGCAGGCAGTACAATAAGTGTACATTACAAAGAACTTAGAATTCCTTTGCCTAAATTTTACTGAAAAGTAGAAAAAAATTTCCCTTTACCGTTTCAGATGAACTAAAAGTACAGGTGGCAACTTCCAGATTTCTATCTTTTTTAGAGAATCCCGTCGAGCTCTGCAATGACTGCAGTAAAATCTATTGTTATCTGTGAGTTTTTCTTCTTTGGAAAATAATCTAAGGCAATCCTGGTAGAAAAAACAAGTAGCAG